ACGGTCGCCGGGCTGGGACTGTGGCCGGGAGAGGGTGGCGGGCGGGCCGACGGAGGCAGCGGAGGCGGGAGCCGAGCTGTGCGTCCCTATTGGTGGACGTATATGGTAATTGGCAGTTTCACCGGCCAAACACTAAAGAGGCGCATTTTAGAACGTGGGTCCCCACTATTCAATTATGATAAGGAGAGATAAGTGGGACCTGATTAGTGGCTGTAATGGCAAAAGAGCAGAATATAAATTTAAAACTAGACAGATACACACAATTTTCTGGATAGGGGTTAAATAAAAAATCTATTGCACAGAAATTTTTGAAGAGTGGGGCTTAATTTATTTCATATAAAATCAGTGGGAGAGTTAGAATAAGACTGCATATGATGCTACAGACCCACTTTCAAATATCCAGTCATATAATTGAGCTGCCAAAGCCACACACCATCCAGCTATTGACTGGGTCTATAACACTGAGGAATTATTCTACTAATAGTTTGTTTTTATCTTTTCTCAGGGGAAATCTCTTGACACGTACTTTAACTGACATAGTGAACAAAGAAGACTTCGTGTTGAATTCTGAATATCTCATCACTCTGCTTGTTGTAGTTCCCAAGTGAGAATCTTTGATCCTCATGAAGGAGTTAAACATATTTAAAATATTTATTAGTCACATTCCTACCTTACAGGAACCCAAGGCAGTTTGATAATAATACTCAGCATTTATGTATTGCTTTATTCAACGTTCTTCACTTAAATCTCAACAACTCTGGAAGAAAAGTCATGGCTATTACATATTACAGTCAGGGGCCCAAAGCTGAAGAATGGTGCCTTACACGCCATTCATACAAGCAGGGTTATACTTCAATGGACATTAAAGGGTATAACTTTGCTTGGAATGACATTAATAGAGTGGTTGTGGCAGAGGCAAAGTTCAACAGAGGAATTAAAAGCAAATCCATTCAGAAGCAAGTCCAATTATTTATTTATTTATTTATTTTATACCCTGCCCTATCCCACAAGTTGGCTCAGGGCGGCTTACAATATAAGATCCATAATGATAGAAACAATGAAACCATAAAATAGTAGCAAAAACCCATGCCTCATGTCAAGCAGAAACAGGTGCCCCGGGAAACTCCAGTGCCCAAATAGTATCCAGAACAGCAGGGCACTGGGAAAGGGCCATGAACCAGGGAGGCCAGAATGGTTGAACATCCACTGCCTCCACTGAGAGCCTGGTGGAACAGCTCCATTTTACAGGCCCTGAAGAACATGGCCCTGATCTTGGGTGGGAGCATGTTCCACCAGGTCGGGGCAAAGGCCGAAAAAGCCCTTGTCCTGGTTGAGGCTAAGCGGACATCCCTTGGGCCAGGGATCACCAGGAGGTGCTGGTTGGAAGCGTGTAAAGCTCTCAGGGACCTGGGCAGAAGCCAGACTGGAAGGGGTCCAGTATGGAAGCATCACTAAGAAAGCCTGGAGCTGCTCAGCCACCACCCTCTCAACTACCTTACCCAGAAATGAAAGATTTGAGACTGGGCGGTGGTTGGCGGGGACCGCAGGGTCCAACAATTTTTTTTGAGGCGTGGATGTACCACAGCTTCCTTCAAGCCCCTTGGGAATACCCCTGAAGAGAGGGATAAGTTGATAATATCTCCCAAGGGGGGGCCAAACCCCATCCCTGCGAGCTTTAACTAGCCAGGATGGACACAGGTGAAGGGGACATATGGTAGGTCTTACAGTCACAAGGATCTTATCCACTTCCTCACTGGAGAGCTGACCAAAACTGGACCCAAAGATGGACAAGGGGCTTCCAGTTCCCTTACTGTATCGAGCATGACTGGGAGGTCCTGGCGGAGCAGCAAGACTTTATCTGCAAAATAACTCACAAATGCCTCGCAGCCAATGGCCAATTCTTTATCATTTTGCTTGCATTGAGGCAAGGTAGTCAAAGACCAAATCGTCCTAAATAATTGGGCCAGGCGAGAGCTGGCAGACACAGTGGAGGCCACGTAAAGTCTTTTTAGTGGCCTTCACTGCCATCTTGTAGGATTTCATAACCAAGCTATGAGACGTTCTCATAGCTTTGTCACGAGCACACTGCCACCCTCGCTCTTGTCATCTCAGTTCTTGCTTCATCCTCCATAGCTGCGGGGTGTACCACGGGGCTACCTTGGTACAAGAACAGAGAGGATGCCAAGGGCTGGTTTTGTTGATGGCCTCAGAGAGCTGGCTATGCCAGTACTCCACCAGCTCATCTAACAAATTGCCAGGGGGCATCAGATCCTTCAGAGCATTCTGGAACCTGATCTGGTCCATCAGGCTACGCAGGGTAGCATAAATCTCGCCACCTATTGAGTGTTATTCCAGGAAAGCAGGATTGCAGACTAAACCATGGATTTCCTGAAACATAGCTTAGTTGTAGTCAATACACACAGCAGTGCCAGTTCCCAAAATTTGTATGTGTATGTTTAATAAGAAATTGACCTAAACACAAGAACCAGGTTTTAAAAATTTAAATCTTGTTACTTTCATTATATCAAAGGCTTTCCTAATGTTGTCTCTGATTCTATATATTAAAAGGATATCATCACAAAATAAGATCCTTTCTCTACTTACAAATACTATTCTTTAAGTCTTGCCTTTCTTGTTGTATCAGGTCAAGTTATACACAGTGGCAAAAAACATATGAATCACTCTCCGACATGGTGGTTCCTCGCTCTACAAAGTAAGTATTGAGTTAAATTCCATTTTAGGAATCATTCTTATTACTTAAAATTAATTAGCATACCCACTATCTCTCATTCACTTCCTGGAGGCAGATAGAGTAAATGAGTAATTCAAGGGCATTAAAGTATCGACTAGCTAAATAGGGTCTGAACTCCGATTAATCCTGTTCCAGAGCAATGCACAAGGAACTTAGAATTGCTCTCTTCCTTTCTGCCTGATCTGAAGTTTCCCTTTCTTGGCCAGTTCCATGACTGTCATTTATTTATTTATTACTTCTATTTATATCCCGCCTTGCCTTGCCTTACACAGACATGTAATCAGATAAGGAGAAAGATGCACAGGAAGTAAGGATTAATTGAGAAGAAGCTCGATTAGGTGAGGGAGCGACCCCATACAATGGGGAGCAGGACTACTGTACCTTTAATAGTGAGGTAGAAGAGGAAATCTGAACAGATACAAGAGCAGCAGCACTGCTGAAACACAACTGAAGGCTCAGGTGCCTTGTACTCTGCTTGCTTTGGTAGTGATGTGAGGGAAAACAGGCAAAACTGACATGAGGATGTATTTCGTATGGGTAATTTAGAAGGAACACCTTTGTAAGAATTGCCTGCAACCTTTGGAATGCTTGGACTCTGACTGACCTGACAGTTGCAGCTTTGGTGCAAGATTAAAACAGATGCAGCACAACATTTAAAGCCAAGCAGCTGCCAAAAGTAACAGCGCTACAGCCCTTCTTACAATCACACCAGATCGTTTATGCACGTGTACCCAGCTAGTTGCTCCTGCTATATTCCCACATTGTCCCCACTTGAGACAACAGATTTTATTTTGTATCAGGGAGGAATCTGCAACACTTTCCCCATTGTGCCTCCATCCTGTACTAGGGTGCTGGGGCACGGAAGGTCAGGGTAGAGTGGTCAACAGGCATGGAGAAAAATGTCCTGTCCCTTTAATAGAGGCTGAATGCATGACAATGGGCAGTTGAAGCTTTTCATGGAATGGTGGAAAATAGCAACCTATTAAGCCCGTTAAAGGGAAAGGACCCTTTTCTTCAGGTCGGTCGGCAACCCTAGATCAGGAGCTGTGGTACCTGTAGAAAATGGTCTGTCAGCAGAGGCAATGTTTGTTTGTTTTTTGTTAATTTTTTAAAAAATGCTATTTTGGGGAGTTTTAAACTTGCTTTTGAACCATCCTGAAGGATTTTCTATTAATCAGGGGAAACTGGAAAAAGCAGCTGGGGGGGGGGAAATCCCCAAACTCACATGTGACAATAGTGCACATGCCTGCATGCATCACAGTAATGTGCCCTAAATGAAAAATGCCAGAAGAGATAAGCCGGTCAAGCATCTCCGAAGTCTACTCAGTGTTCTGTATTTTACCCCTACAGGATGATTGCTGAAGATGGAGAGGGAGGACTCTTCACTGTAACTCTGTTTCGAAAAGTGATGGAGGACTTCAAAGCCAAAGCAAGAGAAAACAAGTACTGTCCATTAGTATGTCGTAAGGGGAGGAGAAAGGTTTAAGACATCCATTCTTATTTTGTTAAACAGAAGCCATCCGTACACATCATGCCACAATGCTCTTGGATTCTTCACATTGACACTTCCAAATTGAACCAGTTTTGAACCCATTTAAGAATAGTCTCTCCCAAGACATTATTTGTGCATATGAGCAAACGTTGCTAACATGAGACAGAAAGAAGAGAGCCATAAATCAAATGCAGACAGTATAAAGCTTATATTCAGATCACCTAGGTGAGACAAGTACATTTAAGTTCATGTGAGAATACACTTCAACACTATGGCTTCTAATCAGGAAACAATGTGAGTTGCAGTTCTGTGAGGGGCTAAGGCTATTTAAGAAAGAATTCTTAGCACTCTCTAAAGTACTAGATACTTTGGAATGGGGTGGAGAGCCACAATAGTAAAATTGGTTTTGAGTGTCTCTAAGTTTTGTAGTATGGATGTGCTCTAAGTCTAGTATGGGACAAATATTGCCACTGGTCCCAGGCCAGTTAAAATGAAGTTTGTGGAACAAACTGCAATTGGCATATCCCATTGCTTTCAGCGGGACAGTCACTGCTACTTTTATTTGGAGCTCAACTAATATGGATCACTATTACTTCCTTCCCTGACTTCTAATTTATTCCACTTTTAGCATTACACAGCTAAAAATGCCAAGGCAGGCAATGTAATTTTAAATGTGCATGTTTAATAAGGTACAGATGCTGAATGCCAGTCGTTTATTTGTTTTGAGGTTCATAGTGCGGGAATTCTATTTTGATGAGAAAGAACTGAAATATGAAAGAGAAGAAATGATGAAGTTAGCTTCCGATAAGAAGCAACAGTATGTGAGTACATATCAAACTGACTGCCCTTGCCTAACACTCGGGAATCTGTTTTCATATATCACTCAGGTGGTTAAGGGGGTTAGACAACTGTCTTCCTAATAAAAGAGGAAGTACGCAGTCTCTTAAATAACTTATAATAGCCAGTACACCCTTAGGGTTTTCCAGTATTGTATTTCAGTACAGTAATTGTGCTGTTCTCACTGTTGCCTCTTCCTTACAGCACTGCTTTGTATTTTTGCCAACACTAATACTGCAGTATGCTTTTTAAAGCCCAGAATGTTTTATTTTCCTCCCTGATAGTGCATCTGTGGTGAGCTGGAGTGCTGCATCGATTATTACTGTAGCTATTGCAAGCAAATATCACCGACATCTGTTGGCTAGTACTTTCTTAAAAAGATGTAGCCAGTTGATATATGACATAAAACCATGTGGTATCAGCAGCATTAAGCAGTATATATGAAATTCGCTGTAGTATAAATTCTTTCAGTAAACAAGTTTGGGAAAAATGGTATTTTTGTTTCTCAGCCTCCTCCCAAAGGCGAATGCAGTCTTCTGCCTGTGGCAAAAGCTGCTCTGGGTGACCACAACACATGATCAGCACACCTTGTGCAACACTTGACCGTACTCACCTCACTGCAGTCTCACCCACCCACACTTTTGCTACATTCTTTTATTATTGAACTAGTTATACCCCAAGTTGAACGGACAAGAATGGAATTTCTGGACATTTAAAGTGCTCTTACTGAACTGGATCCAGAAGTACATTTCTGCTAGTGGAAAGGGGTGCATTTTTTGCCATTACTCGCTTCCATTGCAGACCTCTGTCTCACCCTTCATGCTGTCCTTGCCTTCTGGAGTAGGATTTTAGGGAGCATTTCAGGCTGAAGCAGGATAGGGGAGGTGAAGAAATCCCGTTCCATTGTCAGACAGCCCTGCCACCACTGGAAATTATTGCTGGGTCCAATGCAATGCTCCCTCTAAGCTGTGGAGTCTTCTGAGCAAAAATCTTACTTTGTGAGCTCCTGGCATTAAAGTTGTGAGTGAGCAGTTTGGCTGCTGCATAAATTAGTTTGCTCTAGAGCCATCCTTCCTAAGACAAAAATGTGTGAGCTGGAGGCTAAAAAAACTGAGCTAGCTCACACTAACTCAGCTTAGAGGGAACACTGGTCCAATGCATTGCCTGATCCAGAAACTAATGCCTGCAAATATGGACTTGAGTTTCAGCGGATTGGTTTGTGCTTAGCTGTGTGAACCAGTGGCTTTTAGCAGTGAAACTAGCATGGTGTAGTGTTTGGACTAGGGAGAGCTGGGTTCAGATCCCCATTCTGCCCCGGAAATGCACTGGGTGACCTTGTAGTGATCATCAGAGAATGATGTAAGGTGCTTTGGGTTCCTATTGAAGAGAAAGGCAGGATATAACTGAAATAAATCATTAGTGACGGATGGCGCAGTTCCTCTCTTAAGCTTTTGTGTGTACTTTCAAAAGACATAGGTAAAATTATTTAATTATTTATTTGTTTAACTTTTACCCTGCCCTTCCCATGAAGGTGGGCTCAAAATTACACTTTTATAGTAGTTCAAGTGGGCAGGATATTGTTCTGTGTGATCAGAATCATCCAACACATTTTGGTGTCTGATAAAACATCCAAATGGCACTCACCATGACAGTAAAATATAACAATTTTTTTGGCCTTGTCATGTTACCTCAAATTCAACCCCCAATAGGCTTGGCCCGTCAGCACTGAAAACTGGCTAGTGTGAACACAGATGTGGTGATGGTTTATTGTATGGAAAGCACTGTCATCTTCTACAGACAGCAGCAATTGGTGTAGTGATGATTACAGGGCTATGAGAATATAAAAAGAGTCTTGCTGGTTTAGACCTGTGGTCCCTCTAGTCCAGCATCCTATCTCACACAGTGGCCAATCAGTTACTCTGGAGGGCCAACAACAGGGCAGAGGCCGAGGCCTTCCCCTGATTTTGTCTCCTGGCATTGCTACTCACAGGTTTACTGTCTCTGAATGTGTAAGTTCTCTTTAGTCACCAAAGGTAGTAGCCACTGAAAGACAGATTCATGGAGGATAGGTTTATTCCCTTTTAAAGCTGTGTCTGCCTGTGGCCATCACTATGTCACTTGGACGGCTTCAAAAGGGAATTAGATAAGCATATGGAGCAGAGGTCCATCAGTGGCTATTAGCCACCAGGTATAGATAGGGGCTCTGGGGCAAGTGATGCTCTGTCTTCGTGGTGCTTGGGGGGGGGGGTCAACAGTGGGAAGGCTTCTAATGTCCTGGCCCCAATGGTGGACCTCCTGATGGCACTGGTATTTCTGGCCACTGTATGACACAGAATGTTGGACTAGATGGGCCTTTGGCCTGATCCAACATTGGCGTCTCTTATGTTCTTAAGTGATTCCACATTTTAAATCACTCTTTGTATAAAGAAATCTTTCCTTTTGTCTGTCCTGAATCTCAGATGATGAGGGGGAGAAGGTAAGCATCTTGCCCTTCAGTTCCCCCCAACTCCCTTACAGCAGAAAGGCGATAGGAAATTTTGCTAGACCCATGGCAAGCTGCTTGCTTCTATTGAGCCTGATAATAGAATGTGGGCCACACAGCCACAGTGTCTACTTGGGCTTTTCCTCTGCTTTAGGGGGCAAATGAGAGAACTCATTTTTCTATTAGTTCTACCAGGAGGCACAACCCCTGCCCCCAGTGTACCACTTTCATCATCTGCATGGTGCTTGGTGGTTTTATTATTAATTCAATTTATGAATCACCCCATCCCTGAAAAACCAGTGCTCTGGGTGATATACATCAATGATAAAATAACATACCAAAATAATAGATAAAAATGTACCACAATTCAGATAAATAGCATGTAATTAAAAACCTAAAATCCAAGATGGTGTCCTAATAAATCTTATTCCCATACTGAACTGTGTTGCCAACCCATGGGCTGGGTAGGAGGAGGGAAACATCATGAAACAAGGAGAGGGAGGGAGGGAGGGAGGGGTTTTTTTTTGCCAGCGATGGTCATACTGTCGCTGTCCTCAACCAAAATCAGATACACGGACAGCTGAATCAACCTCCATGTTCAGAAGCAATATGAATGCCAGTTGCTGGGGTGGTCAGCAGTATGGGTTCACCTGCTAATGAGGCTTCAGGACATCAATTCAGCCAGTGTGGGAAGCAGGATGCTGGACCACAGGGCTGACTTAGGAGGGGACAGATAAAAATTGTAACCATAAATGCAAGTAAAGTGTAACTTCTTTCCTACCAAAGGGTCCGCTGTTGCGTTGGTTGAAGGTTAACTTCAGTGAAGCATTTGTGGCTTGGATTCATATAAAGGCTCTCAGAGTTTTCACAGAATCTGTCCTCAGGTAAGCAGGTCAATATATTAGGGGCAACTTTTCTCAGACCATGGTATGCAAAGGTAAGCAATTCTGATTTTAAAAGGATTTCAGCAGCCATTTAACTCTTCTCCCCAAATTAATAGGATTTTAGTGTGCTTGTTGAATCATACCCAAGGTGCTATAATATCACAAATACGGGAAAAGCGGCTCACTGTAGTCAAGATGTGATGTTGTTAAGGGTCAAGCTGCAATGGCTGATGCATTTAGATCATAAAAATATCCTTCAACAATACAAGGTTTGATACTTCCAATGCCCGTTTATTACTCCAGTACAAGGTCCCTATTGTTGATACAACACGTTTGCCTCCCCACAAGAGCATGTTGTGTCAACAGGAGGCACCACGCACTAGAGGAATGCACGGGAGCTGATGGAACAAAATGATAGGCTCCAATGCCAAGGTTGACCAAGTGAAATATTTTATGCAGAAATAGTTGAAGCAGCTCTCTCTGTAAACCGTCTTGAAGATTGTTAGTTCGAAATGCAGTGACAAGATTGCTGCTAAAGGTCAGATATAGGGACCATCTCATCCCTGGGCTGCAAGATCTTCAGAGGCTGACTGGTTGTTTCTGGCACAATTCAAGTGGAATTTAAAATTCCTTAATGGCCTAAGTCCAGGGTACCTGACCACCTCCTCCTGTACTGTCCAGCTAACTTTTTAAGATCCTCTTCTGGGCTCCCACCAGCAGGGGTATGGCAGGAGCTAGAGACAGGGCTTTCTTGGTGGTAGCATCCTGTCACTTGAATGCCCTCCCCATATGCCTCCATGGCTCCTACCATGCTGCTGTTTAGGTAGTAAGCGAAGATGTTGTTTGCTACGTGTTTAGTTGTTATGGAGCTTATGGAATGATGTTTTTGTTGCCTCATGCTGCTGACTGTATGGTTGGTACTGGCTTTTTGTTTTGTTTACAGTTGGGGTTTACAATGTTGGTCTTTGAACTTTTAAATTTCTACCTTTTATTGTTAACCACCTTGAACAGATCATTACAGTGGCTACCTACCTATTTTGCAAATAAAGTGTTTCCCATCACATTCTGAATAAATCTTGTCCTAGCTGACAGCTTACCCCATAACTTTACTTCAAAAGGTATGGACTCCCAGTGAATTTCCAGACGATGTTACTGCAACCCAGTAAGAGATCGGCAAAGAGGTTGCGAGACGTCCTTAATGCAGTCTTCAAACATCTGGATGAAGTAGCAGCAGCTAGTATAATGGATGTAAGCACTGTCTGTTACACAAAGGATATGATCCATGAAATTTACAACTGCAGTTGCCATTTAAACCAAACAAATGCAAAAAATCAAGTCCACTAAGTATTTCCTAGCCTCAGCTCCCCACATCCTTGTTAAGTCCCATCACCCACATTGTATGCTGTAAAACCAATGATGATTGGCAGGCAGAAAACACAAGTAGTTGGGCAGGAGAAAAGCGAATTGAAAGAGGTTTGAGTGGCTTAGAGGATCACCACTTTAAGATGCTGGTCAGTAGAGACACATCTGTTCATTTCTCCACTCTTCTCACCCATAAGACAGATAGGACCACTACTGATACAAACGTCTACTCACTACTTACTTTAAAAAGGTAAAGGTTTCCCTTGCTCGAAAGCCAGTTGAATCTGACTCTAGGGGGTGGTGCTCATCTCAGTTTCCAAGCTGGAGAGCCAGCGCTGTCCGAAGACATCTCCGTGGTCATGTGGCCGGCGTGACTCGGCGCCAAGGCGCACAGAATGGTGTTAACCTTCCCACCCAAGTGGTACCTATTCATCTACTTGCAATTTCTTGCTTTCAAATTGCTAGGCCGGCAGGAGCTGGGGCCAGAGACAGGAGCTCACTCCATCACGCAGCACTAGGGTCTCGAACTGCCGAACTTCCAGTCTGCAGTTCAGTGTCTTAGCCACCTCGGCCCCTTACTATTTCGTTTACTCTCCTGCATATCCTGTTTTTCCTAACAGTCTCTGACAAGCGGTTGTATACCTACTAATAGATGTAATGAAGATTGTATAATGGGGTGACTTTAATCAGACATCGATACACAACTGCAAGGAGTTGGAACTAAACTGTAATGTAATAACAATATTGGGATACAATAAAAACATTTGGAAAAAAAAAAAAAGATACACAACTGCAAGGCAGTTTCCCCAACCTTGGCTTTCCCCCAAGCATTACTCGTTCCCTTCAGACTTCTCAGCACTGAATCCATGCAGGGAGAGGACCTTTACTAGGTGCCCTACAGTCTTACTCTTTTCGTTGCAATCTGACCCATAAAGTCTATTTGGCTGTAGCATCTGCCTGAGGGAATAATGAGAACTCTTGCCTTGCAGTTGTGTATCATTGTCTGATTAAAGTCACCCCATTATGCAATCTTCATTACATCAAAGCTTCTTTCTATACATACCCATATCCATTGTACATCTTGTACCCTTTAAAAAACCTTGCGGATAGTCAGGTTGCAGAGGCGCAACAAGCTGCGGAGGAATGAAAAGGATCCTTGCTTATCCAGATCTTTATGTACTGAAGTATTACGCTATCTGAGCAAATGGTTTCTGCTGCAATACCCTTATAAATCACAAGCTTGACAAAGTTCAAAGAGGAAACCCCACAACACCTTCAGTCCAGTTTCCCAAAGGCTGTCTCTGTGCCTTTGAATAAGATTAATAGATCCCGATTTGAGGGCATCTGATGCAGCAACCTTGCTGAACGTGTGCAGGTTGGGCTAAGACCAACATCTGAATGAGAGACTAGGTAGGAAGCCATTTTTAACTTTTGTGAAATAACACATTATGAAGTGACAGAAAAACCCATCTACTTCCCAGTTCCCTGTACTCTGTATTGTCTGTTCAGCCTTTGTCTCATGGTGGATGCATTCTGCAAAGTATGCCCTGTAACATCCCTGTTCTAGCAGTTAATTGGGGCGGGAGAGAAGAATGGGTCTGTGGAAGAATAACCCTTTCACAAGGAACTTTTCTGCAGTTTGCAGTAACCCTATCTTGCCATCTTAACTTACCGTTATTTGATGCAATACAGTAGTTAGATCACACCGTAACACACCGCATGTACATATCAATGTTAATTTCTCACGCAGTTTATGTGACCAAACGTTTTCTTTCCAGGCTTCTATGGACATTCCTGGCTTACAACTGAGCAGTCAAGAATACTATCCTTATGTCTATTTCAAGATAGACCTCAGCCTTCTGGACTGCAGCTAAGAGAAGCATGACATACTAAAGGGTGGATACACTGTACTGGGTTATCAGAACAACGAAGTTAATGTGTATGCATCTCCATTCCAAGCTGTCTTTTTAATATAAGGGGGCTGTTTTGACAGGGGCATAGCCTTTTCCTGGTAAGGATACTAAATAACTGGACACAAGTTTTTATTATTGTTCCCAGGCTTGTCCTATTCCATTTTAAGTGTTAAGGTTCAAAAAGCCTTTTCTGATCATGTTAGAAAATGTGCTTCATAAGGCAAAGGTATTACAGTTGTATTTATTTATTTTTTGTCTTTTGTAAATTACAAAAAAAAGAAAGAATTATTAACGATTATTTTAAATAAAATAAGATACTATCCTGTAGTTAAAGGATAAACTGTTATTTTAAGTCACTGGATCTATGGCTGTTTGATGTTCAAATTAAATCAACAAACCATGCACACTTTTGCACTAAGTACTGTTATATACAAATTCAGAATTTAATCTCTTAGGGGGATCTATGAAATGCTAGTCCCTATTGTGACAATGTGATATCTGTGAATGATTTTCATATAAAAAAACCCCTACAGGTAAACAGCCACTCTCACCCCAAATTCAGGGTGTATTTAGCCTTTTTTCAGCCCACACATCATTTTCATTGTCTCCACTGCACTCCCCTTTGTTTGTTACACAGTCTATTTAGTGCTTTATACTTTACCCCTTGACTGTGGGGCGTAACACTGAGATCACCCCCCAAAAAAAAGGATTGGGAAGGATTTATAACCCATTCCACAGCTACAAATTTTGTTCTGCATGGGACATGGCTGCCACTTAATCGTTAAAGAAGCACAAAACATCTATTTCCCCAGTATACTGTTGTTACATTTTGTCTGGATTTTTATCATCTCGGAAAAACAGAAACCCAGTGCAAAATCTGGGGAGGAATTGATGAAAATAAAACTGCTCATTCCCTCAACGAAAGAATTCTGTGTCTGATGAAACAGCTAATAATGAAGTTCCTGCTCAATGTAGCAGAGAAATTTTAAGCCGCCGTGACAGTATGGCAGTTTGCAAGGCAAATACCAGTACGGTACAGACATCCTTGTGTTTATCTCACAAGGTTAATACTCACTGTAAAAAAACAAAAAACAAACTTGCAATGCACAAAAGCAACCATCACCTCACTTTAGAGGAAAATGCACTAACTTCCCTCAGTACATAACAGAAGAGATACCATAAACTAAACTACTAAACTTTCCTCAAAGGGTAGTTTAAAAACGTGAAATGTAAATCCAGTGGGTGGAAGTGGACTGAGACATCAGACAAGATAGACTGGTCACAGCACTGTTTTTTGAAGTTGTGTTCTTCAGATGGCAGGGTACAATCATTTTAATACTGACTCCAGATTGCTTTCATATGTCCTGGTTAAAGAAAGCGAGGACATCTGAACAGTCAGTGTCCTTCTGTAAGGCAGCTAAATCACGGTGTCTGCATTTTACCTGGAAACAACTTCAGCCAGACCCCACAAACCTCTGTCTGCAGGACCACAATGGTAGGCTGCAACTTCAGATGGATGCATGGCTCTAGGAAGACTGAGAAATACTTGCCTCAGTCCTTCCCCAATCACCGTCAAGCAGTACACGCAGTGTCTCTAAACCCCAAAGGCACCGAAAAAGAGGTGGGATATGTCCCCTTCTAATAAGATTCCATTCTTGCGGCTCAAACAGAAGAGACAAAGATCATGGGATGAAGAGCTATCTACCTAGGTTTGTTTAGGCTCACAGCTGTGCAGGAAACAGAAAGGAAGGAAAGGTAGAGGAGGTTTAATCCTTCAAAATCTACTAGCCCCCCCCCACTAGTATTTTTGAAGACAAAGTAAAGGCTGAGTTCAAATAGTAAGCCAAGTGGAAGTTAAAGGATTAAATCCCTTCCTTTTCCTGAACATTTGTTGTTGTTGTTCAGTCGCCCCCAGGTAAACTGAGCGGGAACCCTAATGAATGGAACTGACATGCAACCTTCATCTTGTCTCTTTAAGTCCTATAAAATAGTGCTCTGCAATGTTTTTGCTTGCTGTGTTGCAGGCATCATCGCTTTAAAGCCCAAACATGTAGCTCTGTACAACACTGACATAAGTGTGTCAAAAATATTTTTTTATTCTTTCATTGAAATCAAGGCTGGAGCAACTGCAGTTTGGAGGGGGGGGGAGGTCACATTTTAAAACTAGTTACAATAAAAATCTCAAGTCACGGTCAAACAGTACATACCAGCTGGACAAAGGCCAAAATGAGAGAATTTCAATGAAAGATCAGGGTTGCCTTCACGATACCTGTTGCGCAAGATACAATCAATTTTTACCAGATACAAAAAAAATTCATAGAATTTTTGGATGGTTTTCTTGAGAGGAACCCAGTTCACTTTAACAGTGTTTCCGACAACTGACTCAGGGCTCCTCCTTCAGCAAAAAGGCTGCTGGATATATCCACGTGATGCAGTGAGGATGTGCCAAACCACGACCCAAAGTCTCTCAAGAAACTAAATGTCTTCAGCCTCTCACAATTCATCCTTGTCCCAGTCATCGAGATCTACGTCACTGAGATCAATATCCTCTTCAGCAGGTAGCTAGGAGACAATAAAGCAAAATATGTGTTCATTTAGGTGACAAAACTGATGAGTGTCTGCACTTCAGAAAACCTATTTCTTGAATCACAACAGGAAGCATTCAGGAATTCACACAGAGGACGCTACACCTGAGGGAGCCACTGCAGCCAGTAAGTCAATTTTGAAATGAAGGCCAAATTGTTTTAACTAAACCTTTTGGCACAGCAAATTACTAACAAAATCTTTTACACTGGTGGGAGATATTATTAGACAACAACTTCATTCCAGTACTGCAGGTTACTGCTTAAAGAAACGGATTTTGCTCCTAAATAGGGTTTTAACAATGCAATTTCAGCTAGAGAATTTTTGCTTGTACTAAATGGCATGTACAATAAAGAAACTCATTAGAACTGAACACCCTTTGCTTATCCTGCAGTCTCACCCCCCAGGTTATTTCATTTTCAGTAACATTCTCAAGTAGTTAGAGATAGCTAAACGCAAACTGCTCTTTAGAGTTAGCAGTTTCAAAAGTTTGTTTAATTGCATCAGCTCAAAGCCATAGTAAAACAGAAGTTTAATTATAAAACACTTGCTATGCGAGCCAGATGCAGACTAAATTTTATATTAGCATACTGGAACTTTCCTGCCTCCCCCCCAATTAGGAGGGAAAAAAATAAAAACAAGAAGCTGAGAGGCGCCTTCAGCTCTACCTTCTAACAAGCAACCCAAAGTTAGCAGGAGAGAAACCCAGAGGAGTCAGCAAGGGAAAGTAATGATTAGGAAGATGTCTATATAGAACAGGAAAAGGATGTCAACTGTGACAGTGAAAAAGTGAAACAGGATCACAGTAAAAAAAAAAAAGTCAGCCTAGCTTTGAACAGAGATCAGGTGTTATATGAGGTGGCAGACAGGAAAATAAGCACTAGAACGGAGTTTTCAGGGAGATCTCTAAGAGGGGTGGTGGTGGATTTTTAGCAATACTAAGAAGATGCCTGTGGGAGTTAGCAAACAAACTATTCTGAAGGGAACAGTCTGGAAACATCCCTCGTGAAAATTCACCCCATGCCACAAGACTACATCTGAAGTGCTAAAGACAAAGTGAAAGTGTTCACGTTTTCAGAGATTAAAGATGCTCCTTACCTCACCGTCTTTCCCATCCCATGGTTCTATCGTGTTAATCTTTGCGAAACCCCCCGCAACTATTGGTGCTGTGGACCCACGGCCAACAGACAGCTCCCTAAAGGAAGGAAGGCCCGAAACATGTTAGAATTTTGTCGTCGTCCCCCCTCGCCCGCTACAGTGGTACAGTAGCATACATTTTGCTCAGGAACAACTCAGCTGGCACACAAGACCGCAAAGCTTTCCAGACTCAAGTACAGCTATTTTTGCTGGGCAACAGACACTGCAGATTTTGTGTCTTGTAAGAGTTAAATATGCTCAGCAAGGGAAAAAAAAGTTTAAATGTACACATGCCTGACTTCAAGTAAAGATAGCGTTGACGTAAAGGGAGAATGAAACAACCACAAGAACACACTTCAGCTATTGGAAGTGAGATTTGCTCCCCACCAATACAGAACTATTACCTAACATTGCCCAAACTCAACAGATAATGCTATGCTTCTAAAGATTTAGGTACCAAAAATATACATGTATGTGTTTATATGTTTTTATACCTTAGGAATTCATTAATCCCTTGCTCACTGAATGAGCCTTTCAGGAGTGCAAATTTCATTTTCCGAGCATTAACTGCTGCCATGGCTGGATAGCCAAATCCTCCAATTCCCAAGGAATTTTCAAGATCAGGCTGTGCTCCTGCTTCAGTCCACAACCACCTTAAAAGAAAGGAATTGAAAAAAATGGTATTAAAAAAATGAAAACGGGACTTGGATGTACGTATCAAAGCTACTTTCTGAACCCGAGGGCTTGCATCAATGCCCCTGGAGGTGCGACACTGAAGCAGGATAAGGGTGGTGGTAGCCCAAGCCCGGATCCTTTACATCCAAGTTAGTAACCAAGCTAGCACTTAAGAGGATTCTAAGATTATAGCTGTGCTCAATTTTTCAAGTCTACACACGTCCTTGGCATAATGAAGGTGTCCTGCCCTGAAAAATGCAGACATGGGAAGAGGCAGCACCTCTCCCAAAGATACTGAAAGACAAAACATCTGGTACTTACCCCCACATTTTCTTTTTGTATTTGTCTGCCATCTTTAACATCACTTCCAAGTAGGAGTTTCTACCTGCAGCTCCTGGTTTTGGGGGGGGGGGGGGGGGGGGGGATTACAAGAAGAATAGAAGAGACTAGATTTATATTCCACCCTTCACTACCCAAAGGAGCCTCGGAGCGGTTTACAAACCCTTTTCCTTCCCCTTCCCACAACAGACACCCTGTGAGGTAGGTGGGGCTGAGAGAGCTCTCCCAAGAACTGCCCTTGAGAGAACAGCTCTGAAAGAACTTATGACTGACCCAAGGTCACACCAGCAACTGCATGTGGAGGAGTGTGGAATCAAACCTGATTCTCCAGATTAGAGTCCACACTCTTCACCACTACACCAAAATGAGGGAATACATTTTATATTAAGTAGACAAGCAAGAGGGGCAAATGCTTTTTTGTTGCTTTACCTGTATCTAGGATATGAGGCAAAACTGAAATTATACAGAGCTGGTGAGCATCACATGTCTGCTTCAAGACATCCTCATTAGTAATCTGAAAAGGTAAGAAACAAATGCCTCATTACCAGCAAAACTTCTAACAGAGATAGATTAGCAAAGGAACAATTCTGCGCCGTTGGCTAGTTTCAAACTTCTCTCTGCCTCCAGTTGCTCCATTCACTCTTCTCCCAGTGCCACTGACATGGCCTGCTCTGACGTCAGTGCAAAGCCTTATGTCCACAGCTATGCATTACCTGTCACTTGGCTTAGCTGCTCTGGCACCACTGAGGGCCTACAACAGCTTTTGCCCAAGCACCGCAGAACTAAGGGACCTCAGAATTCACATTCCAATGTCAATGAGCAGCTTCGTAGAATTACACCACCCATGAACTTCCAGTGTGCTTGTAAATGACCATTATACTCTCAAAACCCTTACCAAGAAACAAGCAACCTTTAAGTCCTCAAGGTATGTAAAAGCTGATGGGTTTGTTCCAGCCAGCTTTTTCACTCAACCTTGCCCAATTTCCCCTACCTACTACAGTCTCTGTCGCACATGGCTTTTTGTCCAAAAGCCCCCCCCCCCCCCATCAGCAGAAAAACTGGCTGGATTCAATCCCAACACATACAACATTCAACCCAAAACGGAACTGTTTTCTATTTCAGGAGTCTCAGCCTTGTTGAGCCCGCTGGAATTTGGAATTTTGAGAAAGAATAGTGGATGTCACCACAAAATGCCATAGAAGAGCCCTAACCATATCCTTCCTCCATAAACTTTTACGTTTGTACTAAATGGAAGTGTTCAGGAAGGAAAATGGAAGGTTTTCCATTTTTGAAGAGGACAAAACAATAAAAAGCATTCAGGTACTAGTGTAACTACCTGTCTGATTTTACGGCTTTGGGGGGGGGGTAGACAGAATGTGTATATATTATGGATATGATAGGTGCTAGGTAGATTTCACTGGCTGAGACTGGAGTATAAATCTTCCATTCTTCTCCATCTCATCTCATTTATTTTGTCTTCTTGCAATGAACTATCCTGACTCCCATTTTTGGTTGAACTGTTGCTGTGATGAAGCAGTTTCTCTCACATACCCCTAATGAAGCCAAGATACCAGTTACTGCACACATTATCCTTTAAGCTGTAGCTACTGCCTGGGCAGCATCCCTTCAACCTTCAGCACTTTTCAACGCTGGCTAGAAAAGCATTATTATTATTTATCAAATTTATATCCCGCTCTCTGTCCCCCAAAGAGAGTCGGGGCAGCTAACAGCATATAAAATACACCCAACGAAAACCATACAAAAGATACAAACAAATTTTTAAAATATAGAATAAAAAGCACTGGACACTTTTGGATTGCTAGCTATGGGGGGGGGAGACGCGCAGCTCTGCGAAGGAAGGGAGGGAGGGAAAGATGGGCAAAGAGATGGGATGCAGCCCCCCCCCAATCAAGGCCCTTCATGGTTTAGCGGGGGTCCCCCGCTGCTGGCCAGCTGGCTGGGGAAGCCCCGCCCCCGAGCCCCAACACCCGCAGCCTCCCCTCTCCCTTCTCGAGAGAGAGGGAGAGGGGTGATTGCGGGCCATGTGTCCGATCTCCGCTTGGAGATTGGGCGGGCAGGGGCCTCCGGCTCCCTGACCTTAAAGGGGCTCTCTTTAAGTGCAGGGAGCCGGTGGGAAACAGCCCCACGCACTTGATCTCCTCTTGAAGATTGGGCGTGCGAGGCCTTCCGGCTCCCTGCACTTAAAGGGAGCCCCTTTAAGTGCAGGGAGTTGGTGGGAAAGGGCCCGGGAGTGTGGCCAAATTGGAAGGCAGCTGGAACGCCGTTCCTGTGTGTTCCGCCCCCAAAATAGCCCTGAAAGATGGAAAAAGAAAGGAGTGAACAGGTAGAGGAGGATAAGCGGAAAGACGCTTGAAAAGGAAGGAGTCAGGAAGACGAGCAACAAGAGGGCACTAAACTACTCTTCCCACATTGGTGATTGCTGTCCTACCCTGACCGCTGTTTCAAAATACATAAAATTCATAAAGACAGCACAAAGAGAACGGTTTTCAAGCCTATGAGCTCTCAAGTTCATTGGATTTTGTTCTAAACTTTCTTCTGTTCTAAAACAGAAGTTTCACTTCTGTATTTCCACTTAAAAAGACTGTAAATACAGAGCCCAAAAGCAAGCTAGAAAGCAGCTACCTTAGTAGGAAAGAGCTCACCTCTAGGAGTTCAGGTGGTGGTGCATTCTCTGAAAACAGGTCCACAGCCCGAGCAATAATATCTGATCTGGTCCGTCCACCATCATAATCAACAGGGTCTTCTCCTTTCTGGAAGATCTTGATGGTGGGAAATCCACGGATCTGCAATGAGGTTTTAGAACGGTAACAAGTAAGAGAGACAAGATTGATCTATCTTTTACAGTTATAGTATATTTAACCAAGTCAAATGTAGGTGCATGATTTTTTTTTACAGACAGTAGGAATTACAAGCAAAAGTCTCACAACAAAACAAGGAACTACTAACTGTCCAAGTGCTGAAAATCTTTTGGGATGGGAACAAAAACTGTCTATGCTTTTACCCAGTGCTGATTTTAAAGACTGCAAGTCAAGTTGTAAAAGTCTGCCCTTAAATTCTTAAATATTAAATACATTCTTAAATATTTGACAGTATCAATACTTAATCAGCATCAGAAACAGACTACTTTCATGGACTGCCTCAAACCAAACCAACCCAACTGAAAGAACTTCAGTGTAATAGAATTTTGAGAGCCAGTGTGGCAAAGCAGCTAGAGTGCCGAGAGGGAATCTGAGAAACCGTTGAGCAAATCCTCATTTTGCCATGGAAGCTTTTTTGGGAACTTGGCTCAGCCACTCTCTCTCAGCCTAGCCTAACTCACGGGGTTGTTGAGAGGAGAAAATGGAGAAAGGGAGAACGATGAACACTGCTTGAGCTTCTTGGGGGATGGGTGGGCTTTAAAAAAATCAATGACTTAAATATGCAATTACTCACCCCATATCGGCTTGCTAACACCTGGTTCACTGTAGCATCAACTGCAGCCAGCTTCACTTTTCCTTTGGTTTGCTCTTTCACTTCTGTTGCAGCTGATGCCCATTCTGGCTCTAGACTGTCGGGAAGATTAGTTTATTTTTCAAAATTCAAAATGAGTACTGGCAATACTGAGCATGCAGAAAAAACAAACACTGCATATACCTATTAGAGAGGTGAATGCCCAAAAGACAAATGGGGGGGGGGGGGGGACACACCATTTTTTTTCAACC